GAGACATTGCATGTGAGGATGTATGCATTTTCCACTCTTTTTTTCATATCAGGGTGCCGTGCCCCATGGTCCAAAACAAGCCCCCTGATTAAGCTGTTAAAACAAAAAAAAAAAAAAAATTTTTTTTTTTTTTTTTGGTGGTACCAGGGATCAAACTTGGGACCTGGTGCTTGCCAGGCGGGTGGTCCTGCTGCTCAGCTATCTCCCCAGCCCTAAAACAACAGAATTCATTGTTGTGATTTCCATATGGGACTAGAACACATACTACCAAAATTTAAACACTAAACAGATTGTAGTGATAATTTTCACACCAATGAGATTTATTTATCTGAACAAGACTTTTCAGAGATAGCCAAAAGGTCAATTGTAAGAAACAAATATTGCAGAACACAAGATGAACTATTCACACAAATGCCAACTCTGTCTTTCAAAGAAAATTATGGAAGAATTTAGAATTGTGGGAGGCTAATGTCTGGGGATGCAGCTCAGCATAAGGGCCTGGCATTCAATCCCCAGGTCCTATGGGAGGAAAAAAATCTCTACAGAGACAGTTTGAAGTCTCAGCTGTAAGTTGCCAAACTGTGGCTGTTACTTTCTTTGAAAAAAGGTTCTCATATGGGTAGAATAACTCATGCCTGTAAGGAGGAGGCGGCGGCTGAGGCAAGAGAACCAAAGCCTGGACAACACAGTACAACCTTATCTCAAAAAAAACAAAACAAACAAACAAACAAAAAAAAAAAACAAAACAAAACCAAAAAACCCCACTCATTTAGATGTAGCTAAACGAGAAGGGATTGGACTGGATTCAATACCCAGGAGTGTACCAAAAACAAAAAACAAAATAAGTTTGGGGGTTTTTTTGGCAGCACCGAGGATTGAACTGAGATCCTTGCGTATGCCAGTCAAGTGCTTATCCTACTGAGCCATCTCCCCGGCCCCAAAATAAGTTTTAAAATTAGGTCTCAGAAATTTTTATTTTTTTGGTGGAACCGGGGATTGAACTCAGACCCTTGCGCTTGCCAGCGAAGTGCTTATTCTACTAAGCCATATCCTGGCCCCAGGTCTCAGAAATTTTTTAAAATTTTCTTTTTATTGAGACAGGGTCCCACTATGTGGCCCAGAACTCTAGGCAATGCTACTGCCTCAGCCTCCCACGTGGTAGGACTATAGCTGCGAGGCAGCCACCACACTCTGTATCCAAAAAACTTCCTAATTCCCCAACAGTCTCTTTTTATATTTGGTGCCCAAGTATTTCAAGAAATATCAAAACATAAATGTTATTAATATTCTAACCATTAACACATCACCTCCCTCATTTCAAAAGGAAATATTTCTAAGAACAGAGATGATACCTAGCAATATCCAACATAAACTTACCCACAGATATTGCTCAAAACTTGTAATATATACAGCTGGGAGCGGTGGGTCACAGCTATAACGACAGCACACTCCAGGCTGAGGTAGGAGGATCGCTGTGTAGTGCTGGCTACACAGTGAAATCCCATCCAAAATAAAGAAAAGCAATGTACTACCTATTTCAGAGTTGGGGTATGGCCCAGTGGTACAGACCCCACTCAGCATAGAAAAATCATAGGTTCAACACACAGAATTAAAAAAAAAAATTTTCACGGCATTCTTCACCCACCTTGTATCAGTTTCCGACTTATGCTTCATCTCCATGATCTCAACCATGAACAGGTCAATAGGTTCATCTTTTCTCCTAATGGCCAAAATGGAATC